AATATATATTATAATGAAGAGAAAGAATATATATATAATAGAATAAAGTGAAAGAATATTAAGGTATAAAATCCAGTTTTCTTATTAATATTTTTATTTTATGATATATATATATATATATATATATATATATATATATATATTTATGTAAATGTATATTTATGTAAATGTAAAAAAAGTCTAGCAACAATATAAAAACTGCATCCAAATCTACAATTATTCCCACTCAATAACCTCTAGAATAATTCGAAACACAACAATAACCTCCCACCAAAATAACTGCTAGAATAATACAACAGACTGCCCACAATGCATCATTGACATGTATATATAAATAGTCGAGCAAAAACACAACGCAGATGGCCTGACGATTCCTTTTGCTATGGAACTGACTGTCATCTCTGGGTGTTGATTTCAATGTCCACTTTATATATATATATATATATATATATTGAGGGCTACCTTTCTATAAAAGAGCCCGTTTTGTGGGTGTGTATTTCTGATTTGAAAGTTCCTTCATATAATGCAGGAACACTTTATTGAATTCAAGAGGAAAGTGAGCAATTTTCAAAAGTTTAGCACCAATTTCGAGTTATTCGTGACTTTTTTTTTAATAGAATTCTTAATTTACCGAGTATCACCATTCATTTTTATTTATTTTTAAGGTTGGATGAATATTGGTATATGAACTCTTTATGCGGTCATTTGAAGATAGATAGATAGATAGAATTTGTATATATATTATATATCCGCGGCGTATATATATATATATATAGCTGAATAGGTAAATATAGGTAGTTATACGAGTGGGCAATCGTATACAAATGCATATAAGTACGCTCTAGTGTAAGAAAAAACAGTGCTCAATGTAAATTGACATAATTATTTAATAAATATATTAAGAAATATCCATTATACCTTACATTAATTGCATGGAAAATATAATGTAAGTTATTATGTATAATTTTAATATATATATATATATATATATATATATATATATAGCGAGAGAGAGAGAGAGAGAGAATCAAAGGTTTTATTTTCAGTCGTATAGTTTTATGTCAAACCTAATGTAGATATTTACTCGATTTCAAATATGAAATATCTACTCTAATGACGGCTGAATTATATATATATATATATGTGTGTGTGTGTTTTGTATCTAGAGAGATAGGAATGGTTGATAAATTTGTTTCTTAAATTTCCGAACACGGTATACTTGTCCTCACTATATATATATATATATATATATATATATATATATATATATATATATATATATATATATATATATATATATAATTTTCTGTTTATACGTTATTTTTATGCATAAAAATATTTACGTTTATAATAAACAGTATTAACAACATTTACCGAACCGAACGTCCGAGAAATTTCATAGAAAACATGGTTCCTCCGACCGGAATTGAACCTGTGTCCTACACGAAACCGTCATATAGACTGACATGCTCTACCACTTAAGTACAAAGGAGGCGTCTGGTTAGCAATGTCGAATTATATATATACAAAATATATAAATATATATATATATATATATATATATGGTTGGGTTGAAGAAGGAGGTGAAATTTTTTTCAATTTTTACATATATATGTATATATATATATATATATATATATATATATATATGTGTGTGTGTGTATGTGTGTGTATGTATGTGTGTGTGCATATGTACATTTATATATATATATATATATATATATATATATATATATTAGAACATTTAGATTTTGAAATTCATGTATTTATATATGACTAACGTTAGAGCTACAACACTGCCTGTGTACACATATGTATTTCCGTATATTTGGTCACGTGCGAATTAAAATCTGAAACATTGTATTACTTAATTCTGAATTGGAAGCATGTTGTAGCTACGTTATTCTTTACTTTTGTTTAAAACTCTGCTTTCGCATTTTTTATCCTTGTCGACTTATTTGAAAATAAACAACAGCCGGCTTAAGCAAACAAAAACCTTCAAACCTGGACCCCAGTTGTGGGGGAAAAAAAAAATGTCAACAGAAGGTGCTAATAAAAAAAATTGTATTAATTTTCGGAATATCAGGGTCTTGAGGCACAAGTAATATGAAACGCGGAGTAACATGTGTTGTGGAGCAAAGAGTAAACCCCCGGTGACTATAAACTCGTCCAATGCTATAAAGAGTTCCGTGGGATGAGCTAAAGTGTAGTAGTTGCATCGGAGTCTGTCCCAGGCTTGCAACAAGACAAGACCTCTGTCTACGGGCAGAGGGTGACAAGACACCTATCTTCGGGCAGTGGGTGACATGACCTCTGTCTACGGGCAGAGGGTGACAAGACCTGTGTCTTCGGGCAGAGGGTGACAAGACCTCTGTCTACGGGCAGAGGATGACCTCTGTCTTCGCGCAGAGGGTGACAAGACCTCTGTCTACGGGAAAATGGTGACAAGACCTCTGTCTACGGGCAGAGGGTGACAAGACCTCTGTCTACGGGCAGAGGATGACCTGTCTTCGCGCAGAGGGTGACAAGACCTCTGTCTACGGGCAGAGGATGACAAGACATCTGTCTTCGCGCAGAGGGTGACAAGACCTCTATCTTCGGGCAGAGGGTGACAAGACCTCTGTCTTCAGGCAGAAGGTGACAGGGTGACAAGACCTCTGTCTTCGGACAGAGGGTGACTTAGTCGGGGCTCTGTCTTCGGATAGAGACTCGACAGAGTAAAACAAACCAGGACTGCACCCGAACCCGCTTTAGCGGGGTCTGGGTAAATTTTGACCAGTGGCCCGGTTGGAAACGCTCGGGTTCTCCACATAAAACTTGACCTTGTGTCGCAACTAGTCCGCAGTGGGGCGACCGTTAGATATCAGTAGTTGCATCGGAGTCGAGCGGTTCACTGACATACTCACAAGACAAGACCTCTGTTTTCGGGCCGAGGGTTACTCAGTCGGAGCTCTGTCTTAGAATAGATACTCGGTTGAGAAAAACTGGCAAACAATATAGCCGAGCCCGATTTGGCAGGGGCTGAGTAATTTTTGACCAGTGACCTGGGGTGAAACGCTCGGGTTACCCACAATAATCCCGACCTTGTGTCACACATCGCAGTGAGAGGACTGAGTAGACGCCAGACTTATTGAAGTCTTGCAGTTCTCTGCCAGGCCCGCAACAGGCAAGACCTCTGTCTTCGGGCCGAGGGTGACTCAGTCAGGGCTCTGTCTTAGAATATAGACTCGGCTGAGAAAAACTGGCAAGTAATATAGCCGAGCTCGATTTGTCGGGGGCTAAGTAAATTTTGACCAATGACCTGGGGAGAAACGCTCGGGTTCCACACAATAATCCCGACCTTGTGACACAACTCATATCAGTGTGGGGATTGAGTTGATGCTAGTCGTACTGGGGTCAGTCGTCATACTAACTATACAGGCGTTACGGCAATAGTCTAAGAATTATACGTAGGGAAGACTTAAAGAATTACGTTGTACCAAGTACGAGTCAATTTTATTACAACAGGAAGTTATAATAATATTTATCCCCAAGAGGAGACAGGGTGGTGCAATGGAGTAGCAGCTTGGATTGTGGAATCGGAGATCCGAGTTCGAATTCGATTACATTCACTTACGTGCTAATACCTTTCTTCTTCCCCCCGCCATGGATAAATAACAGGACAGACCGGATTCTATAGCCTTGGATGGCAACTGGTCCACCGCAAAAAGATATAGCAACCTACCGCGGGAAAAAAAATCTGCCTTGTCAGTCATGTATCGAACGATACATGATCGCTTAAGTGTGTAACACGCATGGCAAATAACTGACTGACCCCCAAGAACGAGCGTATATGAGAGTTAAAATTTAATAATGCCGGCTTCTTTTTCTATTTTTGTAGGTCCTTGGTTCTTGAAAGTGGGATCATAGGAAAAAAGACAAAAAAAAAATAATTATATAAGACGGGGCCCAAAGCTCCTCCTTGCTGCCGGATGTAGTTTATCGTCATACCCAGAACTAAATTTCAGATGAAGTTCTGGTCTTCCTTATTATGACCGGAAGCTCTGACTAATTGACTATTGCAAATCTTTATTACTATAGAAGACTGTGAACGTTGCTTGTGTGTTTGCCAGAAGTCATATATAGAGAGTGGGCGAAAGAAATGTATTATCGTGTAGAAAGCGGAGGGGGAGAGAAGGAAATGGAGAGAAAAATGCTCTCTGTTTCCACCCACCTCCTCCTCTTTCCACTTTCCAGTGATTGCGTGTGTGTTTATTTATATCTCAGCCTTTTTTAAACAAACAATATTTTAAATATTTTTATTTCAACTTTCTTCAAACAGACATTTTTCAAATCAGCTTCAATAAATAAAATGTAAATAAATGTATTTTTGAAATATCTCTATTTTCAGAAACTCTTCATAAAATTAAATGTAAACAGTAAACAAAACAAGGTTGACTCAACAAGGTTGACTCAACAAGGTTGACCCAACAAGGTTAACTCAACAAGGTTGACCCAACAAGGTTGAGTCAACAAGGTTGAGCCAACAAGGTTGACTCAACAAGGTTGACCCAACAAAGTTGACTCAACAAGGTTGAGCCAACAATGTTGAGCCAACAAGGTTGAGCCAACAAGGTTGACTCAACAAGGTTGACTCAACAAGGTTGACCCAACAAGGTTGACTCAACAAGGTTGACCCAACAAGGTTGACCCAACAAGGTTGACTCAACAAGGTTGACCCAACGGGTCACGTGGGATCTAGTATTTATTTAAATCGTTAGACTGGTACCAGGCCATCTTTAACATTATGCCAAGTTCTAAGGATATCACTATTTCCTCAATTTATCAAACTATTATCTACATCTTTGTTGTTTTGATCATTCCACTTCTTTCGATGGCTTATCAGAAAGTATTTCATATTATATCGGATTCTGAAATATTGTCATTATTCTAATATTTTTAAGCCATGTTCTTTCAGGACGTTCATGACTTCCTCCAGATTCCGTTTCTTTCTTATTTTATGAAACACCGTTTCTCGTGCGATCGTCGAAGTTAAGCAACGTCGAGCCTGGTCAGTATCTAGATGGGTGACTGCGTGGGAATACCAGGCGATGTAAGCTTGGATGTGCGGGTGGTATAATGGGCTTACGAACATATCACGTTGAAACACCAGTTCTCGTACGATCGCGGAAGTCAAGCAACGTCGAGCTTGGTCAGTACCTAGATGGGTGACCGCTTGGGAATAGCAGGTGCTCTAAGCTTGGATGCGTGGTTAGTATAATGGATAAGGACTCGGAATTGTTAATCGGACATCCGAGTTCTAATTCAAGTTGTCTTCGTTAAACTTACCGATGCGCAAATACCATTGGGAAAGGCATGAATCCACATCTTCCCCTTCAAGCCATGGCTTAATTAGTAAGATTTGTACCACTAAAAAGTTTCCAAAAATAAAATTTATACAATCTAAAAACAATTTCTGGCTTTAAATAAC